TGGAGATTTTCAAACAAAAAAGTTGTATCGTACTCAGAAGTTCTGACCAGTCAATGTGTTCAGAGATAACAACTCTTAAAATGAATTATAAGTCATTTTCAACAAGTCGGTTTTTTATTGAGCGAGAATTCGAAATCAGAATTTATTCCAGAACGAATTTAACTACAGTACGGAGTTTTAAGAGTAGTACAAGTGAGAAATCCCACTTAATTCTGAAAAAATAACCACGGAGTGGTTATCACTTACTCTGGTCAACGTGTTGCATCCAAAAGAATTTCAGGATCTTTTACAACTTCAACATGATTCAAAGAAAAATCTTTCACGTAATAATCGAAGACAATGGGAGAATGAAAACGAGTCAACAACAAAGCTGCATATTTATCTATATTGGGTCCATTTCATTTGCCTTACACCAATACGTTATCAGCGAACAATGATATTTCTATAGACATGTATCGGTACAACTACTACAAGAAGATTTTTCTGATATGACAGCATGAACAAACTGCTAATATGGTTATACAAAATTTGAAACATGTAGCTTTTCATTTCCACCATGTTGCTTGTTCGAAACTGCTTAGTTCTTTTGGCTGACACTTTTTTATTTTGAGGATGAACTTGATAATATTGGACTAGAAGTTTCTGAAAATGTATTGCAGTAAAATTTATCGCCTTATCGATTTCAAAATTTGTCTGTCTATTCTAAATTACTGTACGACGTCTTTTTATTCACTATATACCGGAATGATATTTTTGCATTGCAAGGAAAATGAGAACTAGGCTGAAATTTGTTAATTGCATAGAACTGGCCGATACTTGATGAAAATCCATTTTAAAATTGATTAATACAGTTTAATTAGTTTTGAAATTCCTTACTTTTTATTGGTGATTCATTGCCGTTGAAAATGTGTATCTAAATCAACAGTATGATGAAGATAATTCGATTTTACAAATAGACGGTGCTGCTTTATTCTTTGTCAGTATTTAGACTAAAATTTCAAACGGTATTGAATTGGGATTCTTATTAGAAAACGAGTATTTTGCAAACGGACTTGACTTGGAGGTACGAAAAGGATATTTCCGAGTGAAATCAACGGATGAACCCAACAAGCAATGAAACTCTTTCCAACCCTGTTCGAGTTCAGGTGTTAGTATATTCTTATCAAATTTTTGTGTTTTACAAATATAGAACTAACAGCTCACTCGTTGGGGGAATGATGTGGATCTAGTCTGGGATTTACAGGAGAGATTAAAATTAAGCTAGAGTTGAGAATGAAACACAATAATGCATCGAGCACTACGAAACGGAAGGTATATACTACATATCCAATATTACCCTGCTGCCCCTGTGTGAAAATGAATGTTGATGCGAATAAGGCAAATGCAGGTTGTCCACTTTTCATGTGTTAATCTATCGCCATCTTATACTTGTTACTGAAAGTGGTAGCAAAGAAGGTTCTGTCTGCTCCAACCTGCAAACGAAGTGATTCATTGAATTATTTGTAGTTGTTGAGTCTGAAGAGTTTGGTACTGAAGTATTATATAGTAAGTTGTATTTTAGTATGTTTCCAATTGACTTCAAAATTTTGCTTGGAATTGGTTGATGTTTCTTATCTAATCGTCTTAAAATATTAATAGAAAACTAGATTGCAAATTCAGGATTCACTAACGAAATAAAAAATCTATGGAAATTTAATTACATAAATATTGTTGGGAAATGCCACAATTGTTAAGACAAAGATGCAGAAGATCGAAAAAACACTCAATAAGGGACACCACATAAGAATTATATAATATTCCACTAGATCAGTGGAAGATTGATGTGATTGAAGGAAATATTTTGGTTGACACCAAAATCCCACTACTGAACATAACTGAAGACTCACACGACGGATTTTCCCATCTCATCTATCCATCATCGAACGCAGAATTTCTGCCACATTCAACAATATATTATTATCACCCACCTTATATTAATTTCATAGCGAAACTGGTGAAAATTCAGACCACAGAAGCAGACCAACTTCCGATATTCTTGAAAATATACCAAAAACTATAGCACATAGTGCAGTGTACAGCTCATGAAAAATTATTCAAAACGCAGCTTACTGAAAAAAAACATGAAATACTATAAATACTATAGGGGTATATTTTTAGGAGAGAATGGGAATCATTCAAAGAAAGAATGAAAGCAATCAATTTCGAAAATCTATATGATATCCCCTCAGTCATGAACTCATTTGTCCTTCTTCGACAATAATCAGCCAAAAGGGTACGGAAGCTGGGCTCCAACCTGTCTGAAATCAAGATGGCTATCGGTAACTCTATAATATATGATCATGCAAAGAAGTAACTTTCAGAAACAAACTGAAAGAAAAGTGCCTCTCGAAACAGCTACTTTCATATAAACATTGAATTACATGAAAGAAAGATACTTTCGAAACAAGTGCTTTCATTTTCTACTGTTTTTTTGGGTTTATAACCTTCCATCTGAAAAAATAGATAGATCAATAGAGAGTATGTCAAAGTGTAGTGAAAAACAAACTGAAAAGTTCACCCCGAAAAGTTACACCTTGTCAAATGTAGGAAGAGCTTTCTGAATTCCGTTATGGTGCCGCCCACCAGATGTACGTTCGTTAAAAGTTGGTGATAGCGAGAGAGAGAGAGAGAGAGACAGACAGAAAGAGAAAGAGAGAGAGAGAAGTTCTTCCTATAAAGTTGCAAGCTGTAACTACTGCGTAATATAAACTACTGAAAAATCCAATTAGTCAGTAACTTGTCGTATTCATAAATGTTGCCAATAAATTGAAGAAGTCAATTGAAAAAAATTAAATATTTATACTTAGCTCTCTTGAGAGGTTGACGTTTATTTTAATATTTACAATTTCTGACATGAATCTATCAGAATATTCGAAAGATTACTGAAAAATAAGCGTCTTAAAATTTGTACAGTTCTTTGGGAAAGAAAGTTTCTGGCTTTTTACTACTCTATCTTGATACAAAAAAATGTGGGAATCTTCCAGGAGGGCTTTTTCTTCCAGTTAGTGTCTGAAAGTTTTTTCTTTGCATGATCTACACATCTATGTATAGATTTACTTCTTTTGAAATTGATTGCTTCCTTCCTTCCTTTGGAAGATTCCCACATTTTTTTGTATCAAGATGGAGTAATAGAAAGCCAAAAACTTCCTTTTACAAAAAATTAGTCACTCCTAAAAATATAACCCTTTCAATTTAATGTACAGTTCATAATTTGGTTTTAGAAAATCGGTAAATATACTGTGTTCCGCCCTATTGAGTATATTAGAGGGAGTTTTTATAATTCTTGAATTTACAAACGAAGTCATACCTACCACTACTCGATAACCTATAGATAATCTTCGACGTATAACCTTCGTCCCCGCAACCAATGCACGTACCTCTGATAATGTCTGCCGCAGTAGCAGACAAAACGTTTGGTACTACAAGTTCAATTCGACCATAAGAAAATGTGGTAACCTACATCAACCATACTCAAGATTAACCATTGGCAAAACTCGCACATATATAAAGGAATTCTCTGCTATAATAGATTTATAGATTTGTTTAATAGCAAAATTGATCTTACCGATCTGAGGATTTTCAAAAACTACCTGCACAAGTATTTAGAATCCAGAGCATTCTACTCGTTAGAGGAATTTCTAGGGACATGAACTAATATGTTGTAATTAGGTATTATTTTCATATATGTCTGTATTTGTTTTATATACTTCTTCACGTGCTGATTTTTATATGTAGACTAAATACTAAATTTACATCATATTTTGTGACGAGTCCAATAAGTTATACATTCCGTACTCCTTTTTGTAATGACTTCAGTGACGAATAAAGTTCTATTCTATTTTATTCTATTCGAATTTGGGAAAATTTCATAACATTTTTCACGCACCGCGGATTTTTTATAGACAATAAATATTCTGGCGATATATTGAATTTATTGGAGCCTCTGGAGACTCCCTACATTTAATTCTATGAAAGGGAGGTCATTGATAGATCAAGAATTTCAGATGATGTGGTGCTGCAAGTTTTTCCGGATTTTCCTGAAGCTGAAAAAGCAAATGCGCCACTGGAATCAATCAAGTCGCCCCGGAGCACCAATTAATTTCTGTTGTTGTTTCATAATTTCATAATTTGTATTACTTTCTTTGTTACTTATGTTAATCTATTATATATTTTTAGAACAATGAATTGAATATAGGCAACAGTTTCTATGATATTTTCTTGAGTAGCATCAGCTCCGGCTTCTGATGGGTATAACATCGTCATATTTCAAGCAATCCTCACAAAATATTCATGAATTTACACATTAATATTTCCCTTGAATCACTTCGTGAAAACCGCATAAAAATCTATTTGGTAAATTTTGAGTTTATTACGTTCTAACAGACAAACGCGATTGTGATACTGTTTTATACCATGTAGTAATTTTATTGAAAGAACTGTCAAGGACCTTCCAGACAAAATTTGCCTTTCTTAGCTTGTTACTTGAACTTGAAACGGTATAGAGTATAGATTCTATTTGAATGTAGTTGACAATTATTTTTGTTTAGTGTCAGAGGTTATATAGGATTATATAAAGGTCACATTTGAAACCTAAAGAAAAGAAATAAAAAATATAGAATCGAAATATTGAATTATATCGATCCTGTTGTAATGAAATTAATGATGAAATAGGTGCAGATGTTATTAACAATCAATAGAATTCTAAGAATCTAAAAATTACAAATGTTCAACTGTTCAAATTATCTCTACCGATTTAAAAAATTGCAATCAATCTTTACTAATTACAATCCATTTTATTATAGAGATTGGTCAGTTTTATTTTGAATTCTCTCGTAGTTCCAAATTTTAACCATTGGCGAGCAAGGTTTCCACCCCGGCTTGGGGTATTCCTCGAATTCCGGCTAGGCCCGCTTCGCAGACGTTCCCCCACTTCGCACTCAAATCGTTGTGCTATATAAGCGTTTTCAACAACTTTACGTCACAAACAATTGCAAGCGATAGTTCAAGTGATTGCCTGTACGCCTAACAAAATTATAAAATTGTGTCATATTACACAACGTGAGTTAACTAGTTTGTTAGTGAAACTAAAACAGTTTTAAGTGTTTACATACTTGAGGAAAGTGTATTCATCGATTTCCGTAGACAAACCTGATCAATCGGACATGTGTGTGGCAAAGTTCAACGACAAATGCAAAATGATCAACAGGTGAGAATGTGTTTAAATTGCATTATTTGTAGGTCAACAATGGTTGACTTTATATTCCTTATCTTTTTTTTTACATATTTGATCAATTTTTTATAAATTAAACCTATTTTTTACATAATTTTATAAGTATAGTAGGTAATTCTGAACAAAATTCTGGCTTTTTAGGACTTTCAATATTCATTTATAACAAACAGTTTCTTAGTTTCGATAACGCACCGTGTGAGTTTTGTGTCAACCAGGAATGACCTTTGGTTTTTCTTTACCTTTCAGAAGCAAACTTGGACGTGCCGTGCACGGAATGTTGACCCGAGCAAAGGTCGAAAAGAGGTTGATATCTGGACTTCTGCCGGCTATCGCTTACCTTGAGAAATCACCGGAGGATGTTGTAATTTGCGTGCTTCCCCAATCTCGACCAGGAGATGCTACGACCCATATCCAAACAGTATTGCTACAAGCGTTTTGTTACGAGAATTATATTCCTGTTATACAGGTAGGTGTTATCAACGAATTCTTGACTAATACACAATTTTTGACAACAAGTGATACAAAACATAAATTTTATTTCATATCAACAGAAGCGTTTCTTAAAAATATCTTATTTTCAAAACGTTAAATTGAGCATTGCTCGGAATTTGTAAACAATATCTACCTAGAGAAAGAAAGGTTTTAGTTTTCTACTTCTCCATTTTGATAAAGAGTTTGTTTTGAAATTATTTGCTTTCTTTCCATCTTTGAATTTCGGGTTGAATTTGAGATCAAGTGTTAATAGAATATGATTTATACTATTACTTCTATCGATTTTTTCTTCAAATTTTTCAAATTAGAAACTTTTTTTGATGTGGCTCTTAACCCAAAAAAAAATCTTATTTGCTGTACCAAAAAAAAATCAATTTTTCGATGACATCTTTAAGTTTAGGAAATTTGAATCATTTTTCAGTTTGTTTTTTATATAAATCATTCCATTGCCTCTTCATTTTTTTCAACTATTCTGAAATCTGAATTTTCACCTCCACAATTTGTTCAATTAACTGGACATCGTCCATCACGAAATATCCAAATATCCTTATTTCAAATAACTGAAGCTAATACGGAATAAGTTGAAATATTTACATTCTTTATTATCACCGTCGTAGTTTCATGAATACTGAGAACTAATTTTGTTTATGCTTTAACATTGCCTCATCATTGTTTGACATTCCATAATTGAATTAAATTTTGCAATCATTCATTGCCGCTTCAAGAGCAGTTGAGACAGCTGATAGTTTGTGAGTTGAAACAAATATGACGTACTCTGTTGTTTGCTCTCTTGATAGTGTCATGTCTGCTTGAACTGCATCTCAGCCACTTATTCAGGTCAAAACCTTGATTCATACAAGCAATAAATAACTGCTTTCACTTGGAATTCACTGGAAAATCCATGGTGGCATTGCGATAATTTACCATTGACGTATATGGTAAATTACCAACTGTGACTAAACTAAACTAAACTATAAATTTGTATATGTTTTTCAAAGGTTTATAACGACCTTGATGAAAATTATAACTGGAAAGTTGCTATTGATTATTTTAGACAGTTTCAAGTTTTCCATTGTACGCTTGATAGAGTTGGAGCGGCATGTTTTTTTTTTTTCACGGAATTTCATTATCTTGTTTCCTTATCGATTTATGTATTTTCCCAGTACCGGCGTTTTTATCGTTCGGTGACAATAATGTTTCCTAACAAGGGGAAGATTAGCTTGATTTAGTGTAATTAAATTTTTTTATCGCCGACTAATAAAATAATGCAATGAATATGAATGTTGAATGAGTAAGTTTGACAAATCACGCGTTGTTCATCAAACAACTAATTTGGCAAAGAATTAAAAACAAACATTTGATACTTCATAGATAGTTCTTTAATAAAAAACTGAAATATATTCAGGCTGAATTATGTGTTCAATTCTCATTTAGTCGACGATGAAATAGCATATTAAAATCGTTCATAATGTCAGGTTATAGATTACCTACCATACTTACATAATATAGGAAATTTCATAAAAATTCCGAGTATATAGTCAGTCAGAATTTAACAAAAATATTATATATCATTGTATTCCTCAATTTTGGAATATCGTTAAATTCCGATTTTAAATTCGGCTTATTGTTAAATTCCTATTTTCATCAAATTCCGATTTCAAATTCGGAAAATCGTTCATTTTGTCTTTCTTATTGTTAAATTCCTATTCTAAACTCGGATTTTCATCAAATTCTGATTTCAAATACGGAATATCGTACATTTTGTCTTAACAGTTTGGTAGCCTACGTATATCTCAAGGTTTTCTGTATTCAATTCCCATCATTAACATCGTGTGTGAAAATCAATGAGTTTTCAGCCATTTTTTTCTAGAACATCATCACAAATAATATTTTCTCTTTGTTACAGGTTGACAGTAGCGAAAAATTGGATTCCTACTGCGGAGAGCAAACCAAAGGAAGCATTTCTGGGTGCAACTGTGTTTTGATAACCAAAGATCCCAGCATGCCAGTCACTCCAGAAGAAGATATTCCAATGTCTCCAACAGAACAGATTCTGGCAGATTTCTATGAGTGTACTCTTGAAGAATTTCCCAGACCTGTCATTGAGTTGCCAAGTTGAATGGATCCATTGAATGTGATGGAAATGCGTGAAGCGTAATCCAGAGTTTGTGATTAACGAAGAAATTGCAGGACTGGTCATAGAATTTTTCATTATGCAGTCCTGGAATTGGGCGTATGATATGATGCCAGATGAGCCATTTTGCATGGTATCAAGATATAAAGTATGGTATTCTGAGATATAGTTTAGTTTGTTGATAAAGTTTTTGTTATTGCACCCACTAAGCTAAACAATGGCAAAAGTGGCTATTATTGTAGTCTCTTTAAAATTTGTGAGCTGTGAATAGGTTTGTTTATCTGAATAGAAAATAGAAAGTTGTTTTTGTATTTTACTGACTGAGAAAGCATTCCAGTATTTTAAGGTAATTTGTAATTGTAATTATATTTGTGATTTTTTTGTTTTGATCAGATGAGAATTGTTGTGATTTACAAACATATTTGTAAAGACATTGTTGATGGGATGAATAAATTGTATTTACATGAAGCAGTCTTTTATTTAATTGCTATTATCAGAATTCCGGAAAAAAATTGTAATTATTTCTCCATGTCAGCAACATCCATAGCAATGGACTCTTGACGTATGGAACCTTTGATTGATTTTCAACAAGAATATGCCGTGAAAAACGCATTTGTCTATAACAATGTTTTAAACAATAAATGAATATTTAGAAAAAATCATATTTATGCAACGTTTACCAATAAGAAAAAACAATTGGAATATTTGAAAAAAAATCACGATTCATGTTTTTCCTTTTATAACATATTCGATTGTTCACAAAAATTTTAATCTTTTTAAATGTTTGCTATCCAGGAACTTCTTAAAGAATATCTTCAGAAAAGAAATGAAATTCCAAGCATGAATTTTAAAAATTATCAAGTAAGTACCTAACCTCCAGCTTATATCGAGATTGAAGGATCGAGAGGGAAATTGCGATGAAACTTTTCTGCTGGCAAGTTTTTGTTTCTTCCTCAATATTGTATTTGATGAAATACAATAATTTTTTATTGATGTGCCACTGTAATCTAAATTCATTATCCAATGTAAGATGTCTATGTAACGTTGTCTATGCAGTAAGTAGTAAAAATTCCTTTAAAAAAATGTACAATCTATGTCTTATTAATAACTAGCGAACCGCCCCGGCTCTGCACGGGTTTAATGCTGATACTAAATATATCTACATATGAATCCGCGCGATCGCTGCTAATCATAAAGTGCTGTAGGACAAAGGGCACCTTTCGTTGCGCTATTTATAGGCACGCACCGTCAGCTCGCCGGCCGGTACCGCCGCAACTGCGTTGGTACCGACCGCTGTTAAGGGCCATATTGATCTATATTGGTCGGTCGGTTCGACGTAGGTGCTTTTTTCATTCACTCAAATCGACTGCTGGGTTTGTCGGTGGTTCAAGCCGAAGGCTGAACGATCGATTTTCAATTGCTACCGTCCAACCCGTGTTAGGAATCACACGTAAAAAGGTAAGACCTCGTTAGTCCTTAATTGAAATCAAATCAATTTTATTTCTTTGCGAAAATATGAAATTGTATAAGAACAGTCAGCTCGAACAAGTTTCGACTTCTGAGGGTTTTTGTTCGTAGGGGTGCGACAGCTGGTTAACAGAAAACAGATTTCACAGATATTGAATGCACAATGTATTTAAGGTACTCAATTGGATAAGGATTAATGCTGTATTGCTTAAAATCGCTTCGTAAATAAGCCATTATTTATCGAGGACAAAAAATTGTTATTTTGGGTTATCCTTAAGACAGTGGCGTAGCGTGGATATCGGCTGCCCGGGGCGGAAGACAATTTTGCCGCCCTCTTAATTACGTATTTCAATGTAATGTATACTATACATTATACATATTCGTTCCAGAGAACTTTTTAGCAAGAATAATCATCATTATTTTGCATTATACAGGTTATATTTTAAATAAAAAAGTTTATTTGTTTCACAATCACGTTTATTAATTGAAAAATTCTTACTTCAACCATTGATATAACAAATAACAGGTATAGTCGAAGTAACCGATATATAGTAATTCTTAAAGCTTCGGCGAACTCTAAGGCCAAAAAAACCAATACAAAGGAATAATGCCGCAACGAATTAGTCCACGTGGACTGAAGAATTGGCGGTTCGTATTGAATAATTTTTACTAACCGGGTTTTGTAATTGGTTGAAGAGTCATAAAATTAAATTTGAAGTCATGTTATGGTGGCCAATAGAATGTGAGAATGGTTAGAAGAGTCATGTTGTCAATGTTCAGTTCAGGAACTGATCGCGATTTGAGTGTTGAAATTCGATATTGGTGAAGTTATAATTACTTAAAATTTTTGTTATTTGTATAGAATGTGGAGTCCTTTGACAAGTTCTAATAACGAGTGTGATAACAACGCATACTTTTTCCTGTGTAGTGATTCCAATAGCGCTGGTGAACAATGCGAAAAAGAGATACCAGTGAATAAGATTCGGATGCATTTGAATATTGAGACACAGAGAGTATGTTTCAATGTAGGTATATAAGAATTTACATATCAAGTTTGGTTTCAAGGGAAGACACTATTCTCAACTGTACGTATAATAGTCACAAACAAACCTTATGAACGCAAGACGCGATTTGATGCAGGATTACTAAAACCTTTAGATGTTCATCTAGTAAAATCATTAAAAAAAACAATATACGACTGTTACAAAAGCAATGAGATTCCTACAATTGAAATCGTAAGGAAGAAATTGAATACTTCCGGCCATAACGTGGATAATTGGATAATTGGATAAAAAAACTAGAATTTAATAACAATAAACAAATAAACAAACAAATAAAATAATAAACAAACGNCAACTGTTTCAGCCTATTGGGCATCGTCAGTACCGGGCAGGCGGTCCTCGACTGAAGACAAATTGCTTGTCATCCTGATTGAAATGTGAAAAACCAAAAAAAGTACTTCATTGATGAAAATAACTGCGTAAACGCAAGCGAAACATAAGTGGAACCACCTATTATGGAATTATTTTCTAGCAGCTTGACTGCATTAACCTTTCTCGATTTTAGTAGCTTCATTCAAATCACTGTTGATGATGTTCGGGCAACATACCGCGCGCTCAGCTCATTTTACGGTCGCCATAATCGTTCTACCGAGAGTACTACTGACCCAGGAACTGAAGGTAAACGACCATAGAAAACGACGTGTGTTCGCTGAATGGGCTCTGGAGCTGTTGGAAACTGTTCTGTTTAAAAACATCTGTTTAAAATCTGTTTTTCCGTTAATCACCTGTCGCCCCCATACGAACGACAACTCTCAGAAGTTGAGAAACTTGTGCGAGCTGAGGACTAACGTGGTCTTACCTTTTAACGTGTGATTCCTAACACCGACCCTGATATTCATCGAAAAATCATCTTCGGCGATGAATTGGTGCGTGAACAACGAAAACGACGTCAGGCCATTAGGTACTGTCAACAGCGAGTACTGAAGGTCGATAATTATCAACAACGAGATGTGGTATCAACAGTACGGTGCTACGTGTCACACAGTTCATGCCACATTGGATATTCTCCACGAGCGATTTGAGGGCATGGTCATCTCATGTGGAGGTGATGTGAATAAATAAATAAGCCACAAACCACAGTGGTGCCAATGCCATCGGTCAAATTCAGCCTGATTTATGCGCCAGAAAGACCCTTAATGAAAGACACTAGTACCTACCTGGGAATAATTTAACATATCTACTGTTGGACCGTTTGTTCACGAAGCAAATACCTGAAATAATATTCAATGCCGGGCTGTTCATTCATGGAATAAACAGGATAGTTTTCAACTAAGTAATTTTACATTTCAGCAAGATGGGGCAGACTGGTTCGAGAGTTGCTGGATCACAAGCTGGAGTGATGTCTCAGAATGGCCTGCTAGATCATGTGATGTGAAACCTTTAGTTTTCTCGTGGAGATTCGCGAAATCTAAAGTATTTTTCATTTGATTTCAGATTTCAGGAATAGAATTAAGAATCGCTTGTAACAAAGTTATCCTAGGTAAGTGATCTAGCAGACTATTATAATGGACAACTAGTTTTCAAAACGGATTACTGAGTGGTACAAAGAATTGTTTTTCTTGAACCAAAACAATGCCACTTGTTCCTATACTAAACAAAAACCAATAGAAATTTGGGATCAATGGCATCGTACCAAACATTTCTGAAAATCAATGATAAAAGTTTTTTGGAATCATCTCACTTCATTTCATTTTTGTAATTACTCATGAGAATATATCGATCAAGAAAACGAAATCAATTTTATTCATCTCTTCTCGAGTCTGTTAATAATTTCACCTAACCATAATAATGCACCATTTTCATTCTTGTTCTTTTTATTTTTGCAGATGGTGGCTTTTATTTATGATTTTGATTTGTCTGGGAATGATTCAGAAAACCATGTCACGTAAGTATTTTTTGTACAGGATTTTGTGAAATAACAGAAAATCTATGATGGACACACTGAAAACCACTCTATCGTTAGATTTGAAAATTAACACGCGTTTTCCTTCACACTAACTAGAACTACTGAAAGACAGTTTTGGCTTTCTACTTCTACATCATCATACAAAAATTGTGGGAATCTTCCAAAGAAAAGAAGGAAGCAATCAAATTTAAAAGATATAAAGATGGAGAAGAAGAAATCCCAAAACTTTTTTTCCCAAAAATTGATCTCTCCTAAAAATATACCCATTTCAATTCAAACAAGATTCCTATGACTGGGAATATGTGAATAATTCAAAATACATTTGTTCAACAAGTATCAGTGCTTAACATATCACTCAAAACTGCCACTCGCTTCAACTATATTCTCCTTTATTTTTTATTTTTGTAGGCATCTAGGAGGCAGTAGAATGTTTAGAAAGACAAAATATGAATTTTGCTGAAAACATATTTTACTAAATATTTTCTTTTGAATGTCTGATGAGTCGTGTGAAATTTAACCATTTAAAATTTTCTATTTTGCAGGTATACTACTATATTAATGTTGACTACAGTTACCCTTACGATATGGTACAAAAAATAATCATGGTACCGAAACCATCGAAAATACCTCCTTACATGAATATGTTTTACATTTTCGATAACTGCATATGGATTTGGTTAATAATAGTCATAAATATCCTTCCAGTCATCTTTGTTTTTTTCGGTAAACTGTACACCATGCAAAAACTCTCTGAATATTATTTGGCTTTATGGTCAAATTTGTTGAATGTTTCGACATCATCCGAAGTGTTTCATATCAAAATAAAATGGCTATTTTTTGTTTGGGTATGGTGTAGCCTGATACTGGGTGCTGCTTTCCAATCCTCACTTCTTGGGTCATATCTCAAGCCTAATTACGAAAAAGGAGTGAAGAACTTGGATGATTTGAGATCGAGCACGTTGAAGCTCAATTTGCATCCCTTTTTTGCTGCTAGTGAAGACTTATCTGAAATTCTCAGACTAGAATCGAGATAT